GAAGAAGATTTTTGAAATTTTAGTCAATTTGACCCTTTTTGGCCCCGCCCCTCAGGCCCCTGGGGGCTTAGGACTAAACCGGCCACTATTTTTGTTGACCTTTGTCCATGGAAGGTCCCTGCAAAATTTCATTGAAATTGGTTCAGGGGTTTTGGAGAAGAAGTCGAAAATGTAAATTGTTTACGGACAGACGACGGACAAAAGGCGATCGCAATAGGTCACTTGAGACTTTGTCTCAGGTGACCTAAAAATGTGTTACTCACTTTGACTTGAGACGAAGCAATTGTACACCCTATGATACCAAGAGTGATGAGTACCACGGAGACATATTTCCCTCTGGTATACCTAAATCAAACATGGATATTTAAACATCACCTGTGTAAGTAAAACACATAAACATCAACAGGCACTCTCTAGTATACAAGGATCAAACAGATAATTTATTAACCATGGACTAGTGAAGACACATTTGAACTCTTCCAATTCAAAGGTTGGAATAGTTCATTATGAAATTGCAGGGGTGAATGAGTTAACTAGACACTCTTCAGGTCCATAATATAACAACATATTCACCAAAAATTAATGTCCTTAACAGTTACATTACATATAAAATTATCATGCCTTGATCATTTAATATATAATTAACCCACCACTGTATACCATTGTGGACTCATCCATATCAATGCATGGCAGAGTCTACTAAAGTTACATAGAGGTGAAAGGGTTAAACAATACAGAGTGTAAGCAAATTGTCAAGAGGACAGTACTGCATTGTGCTGCAGAGAGCATTGTGACATTACAATAGAAGTGACGCCATAAAGTGACTATTGACTTGATGTAACACAAGAGTCAATATCACACACTATGACTCATCTAATGAGGATGAAGGAAATAATGATATCATTTATTATACATATCTGTGTATAAACAAAAGAGAAGAGGCCTGTCAGTAATGGATATGGAAAATATTCAACCAACAAGTGAAATATAACTTTTTCACAAAGTATAATCAAGAATACCCTGTACTGTTCTACACTTTGTTTTCATAAAGACATTGAATTCTGTGAAAAGATATTCTCCCACCCTTCACAGGTGTGTCTCCCTTGTTAGCGGGGAAAGATCAGCTTGTCACCACCTAGGGGAGATCGCCTCGTGCCGATTAGCACCTGTTCAATTGTGATGTCATTAAAATGTGTCACCTGTAAATGTGACATCAACAAATTAAAGTGAATGACGATATTCATATATATACCTGGCATGTGTTTTTGTTGACAAACATGGCAGACTTCTGTCGGTGGAGTTGTGAACGAAATAATAGGATGGGAGAAAAAAAATCATCCCCTACCTTGAGGGTATAACAGAGAAATCTCCAACCCTCAGGGTGCTTTTTTTGGTAGTCTAATGGACAACCAAAAAACATCACCCCTCGGGTTGGAGATTTCTCTGTCACACCCTTAAGGCAGGAGATGATTTGTTTGGTTGTCTAACCCTCGGCAGAGCCTCAGGGTAGACAACTAAAAAACATCACCCCTTTGGTTGGAGATTTCTCTGTCACACCCGAAGGAGATGATTTTTTTAGTTGTCTAACCCTCGGCAGAACCTCAGGGAAGACAACTAAAAAACATCACCCCTCTGGTTGGGGATTTCTCTGTCACACCCTTAAGGAAGGAGATGATTTTTTTGGTTGTCTAACCCTCGGCAGAGCCTCTGGTTAGACAACCAAAAAATATCACCCCTCGGGTTGGAGATTTCTCTGTCACACCCTTAAGGAAGGGAACAATTCTATTAATCCACCTGCTGCCAAAATTACTTTGAATGTTGTATTGTATTCACTGTAAACCTTACATTTCACTGTTAAAAATGAAAAAAAAACTTGTGTATATAACAGTACTTACTTTCTTCCCTTCAGTAACACTCCCAGACTGAGAGAAGCTATCAGAGAACCCTACAAAGACAGAAGCAACAGATTACATCCAGTCTATTTACAAAACAAAACATTCTCCTGGTCACTATTGAGATATTATAGTTAGTAGCTAACTAGAGGCATAGACATATCATAAAGTAATTTACTTACAAACTGAAGATCACATGGAGTGACATGGATAATATTGATATGTGTATAAAGATATAAAGCTTACTTTTAATTTCAACCCTGAAGATTTGGAGAGGCAATGGTTTACTTACTGCTCTGAAGATCATTTGGAAAGGCATGGGGATCTATTATAGATATAATGGTTAACCTACTGCTCTGAAGATCATTTGGAGAGGCATGGAGATCTATTATAGATATAATGGTTAACCTACTGCTCTGAAGATCATTTGGAGAGGCATAGAGATCTATTATAGATATAATGGTTTACCTACTGCTCTGAAGATCATTTGGAGAGGCATGGAGATCTATTATAGATATAATGGTTAACCTACTGCTCTGAAGATCATTTGGAGAGGCATAGAGATCTATTATAGATATAATGGTTTACCTACTGCTCTGAAGATCATTTGGAGAGGCATGGAGATCTATTATAGATATAATGGTTTACCTACTGCTCTGAAGATCATTTGGAGAGGCATAGAGATCTATTATAGATATAATGGTTTACCTACTGCTCTGAAGATCATTTGGAGAGGCATGGAGATCTATTATAGATATAATGGTTTACCTACTGCTCTGAAGATCATTTGGAGAGGCATAGAGATCTATTATAGATATAATGGTTTACCTACTGCTCTGAAGATCATTTGGAGAGGCATGGAGATCTATTATAGATATAATGGTTTACCTACTGCTCTGAAGATCATTTGGAGAGGCATGGAGATCTATTATAGATATAATGGTTTACTTACTGCTCTGAAGATCATTTGGAGAGGCATGGAGATCTATTATAGATATAATGGTTTACTTACTGCTCTGAAGATCATTTGGAGAGGCATGGAGATCTATTATAGATATAATGGTTTACTTACTGCTCTGAAGATCATTTGGAGAGGCATGGAGATCTATTATAGATATAATGGTTTACTTACTGCTCTGAAGATCATTTGGAGAGGCATGGAGATCTATTATAGATATAATGGTTTACTTACTGCTCTGAAGATCATTTGGAGAGGCATGGAGATCTATTATAGATATAATGGTTTACTTACTGCTCTGAAGATCATTTGGAGAGGCATGGAGATCTATTATAGATATAATGGTTTACTTACTGCTCTGAAGATCATTTGGAGAGGCATGGAGATCTATTATAGATATAATGGTTTACTTACTGCTCTGAAGATCATTTGGAGAGGCATGGAGATCTATTATAGATATAATGGTTTACTTACTGCTCTGAAGATCATTTGGAGAGGCATGGAGATCTATTATAGATATAATGGTTTACTTACTGCTCTGAAGATCATTTGGAGAGGCATGGAGATCTATTATAGATATAATGGTTTACTTACTGCTCTGAAGATCATTTGGAGAGGCATGGAGATCTATTATAGATATAATGGTTTACTTACTGCTCTGAAGATCATTTGGAGAGGCATGGAGATCTATTATAGATATAATGGTTTACTTACTGCTCTGAAGATCATTTGGAGAGGCATGGAGATCTATTATAGATATAATGGTTTACTTACTGCTCTGAAGATCATTTGGAGAGGCATGGAGATCTATTATAGATATAATGGTTTACTTACTGCTCTGAAGATCATTTGGAGAGGCATGGAGATCTATTATAGATATAATGGTTTACTTACTGCTCTGAAGATCATTTGGAGAGGCATGGAGATCTATTATAGATATAATGGTTTACTTACTGCTCTGAAGATCATTTGGAGAGGCATGGAGATCTATTATAGATATAATGGTTTACTTACTGCTCTGAAGATCATTTGGAGAGGCATGGAGATCTATTATAGATATAATGGTTTACTTACTGCTCTGAAGATCATTTGGAGAGGCATGGAGATCTATTATAGATATAATGGTTTACTTACTGCTCTGAAGATCATTTGGAGAGGCATGGAGATCTATTATAGATATAATGGTTTACTTACTGCTCTGAAGATCATTTGGAGAGGCATGGAGATCTATTATAGATATAATGGTTTACTTACTGCTCTGAAGATCATTTGGAGAGGCATGGAGATCTATTATAGATATAATGGTTTACTTACTGCTCTGAAGATCATTTGGAGAGGCATGGAGATCTATTATAGATATAATGGTTTACTTACTGCTCTGAAGATCATTTGGAGAGGCATGGAGATCTATTATAGATATAATGGTTTACTTACTGCTCTGAAGATCATTTGGAGAGGCATGGAGATCTATTATAGATATAATGGTTTACTTACTGCTCTGAAGATCATTTGGAGAGGCATGGAGATCTATTATAGATATAATGGTTTACTTACTGCTCTGAAGATCATTTGGAGAGGCATGGAGATCTATTATAGATATAATGGTTTACTTACTGCTCTGAAGATCATTTGGAGAGGCATGGAGATCTATTATAGATATAATGGTTTACTTACTGCTCTGAAGATCATTTGGAGAGGCATGGAGATCTATTATAGATATAATGGTTTACTTACTGCTCTGAAGATCATTTGGAGAGGCATGGAGATCTATTATAGATATAATGGTTTACTTACTGCTCTGAAGATCATTTGGAGAGGCATGGAGATCTATTATAGATATAATGGTTTACTTACTGCTCTGAAGATCATTTGGAGAGGCATGGAGATCTATTATAGATATAATGGTTTACTTACTGCTCTGAAGATCATTTGGAGAGGCATGGAGATCTATTATAGATATAATGGTTTACTTACTGCTCTGAAGATCATTTGGAGAGGCATGGAGATCTATTATAGATATAATGGTTTACTTACTGCTCTGAAGATCATTTGGAGAGGCATGGAGATCTATTATAGATATAATGGTTTACTTACTGCTCTGAAGATCATTTGGAGAGGCATGGAGATCTATTATAGATATAATGGTTTACTTACTGCTCTGAAGATCATTTGGAGAGGCATGGAGATCTATTATAGATATAATGGTTTACTTACTGCTCTGAAGATCATTTGGAGAGGCATGGAGATCTATTATAGATATAATGGTTTACTTACTGCTCTGAAGATCATTTGGAGAGGCATGGAGATCTATTATAGATATAATGGTTTACTTACTGCTCTGAAGATCATTTGGAGAGGCATGGAGATCTATTATAGATATAATGGTTTACTTACTGCTCTGAAGATCATTTGGAGAGGCATGGAGATCTATTATAGATATAATGGTTTACTTACTGCTCTGAAGATCATTTGGAGAGGCATGGAGATCTATTATAGATATAATGGTTTACTTACTGCTCTGAAGATCATTTGGAGAGGCATGGAGATCTATTATAGATATAATGGTTTACTTACTGCTCTGAAGATCATTTGGAGAGGCATGGAGATCTATTATAGATATAATGGTTTACTTACTGCTCTGAAGATCATTTGGAGAGGCATGGAGATCTATTATAGATATAATGGTTTACTTACTGCTCTGAAGATCATTTGGAGAGGCATGGAGATCTATTATAGATATAATGGTTTACTTACTGCTCTGAAGATCATTTGGAGAGGCATGGAGATCTATTATAGATATAATGGTTTACTTACTGCTCTGAAGATCATTTGGAGAGGCATGGAGATCTATTATAGATATAATGGTTTACTTACTGCTCTGAAGATCATTTGGAGAGGCATGGAGATCTATTATAGATATAATGGTTTACTTACTGCTCTGAAGATCATTTGGAGAGGCATGGAGATCTATTATAGATATAATGGTTTACTTACTGCTCTGAAGATCATTTGGAGAGGCATGGAGATCTATTATAGATATAATGGTTTACTTACTGCTCTGAAGATCATTTGGAGAGGCATGGAGATCTATTATAGATATAATGGTTTACTTACTGCTCTGAAGATCATTTGGAGAGGCATAGAAATATTAAAGCTGAAGGCATAGTTGTTGAGCACTTGGACCACAAAGAAGAATGAGACCATGTAAATGTATTGCCTGAAAAACAAAATGTTTATGCAAGGAATGTACATAGATTTACAATTTTTGTACATTGATCAATGCAAAATTATACAAACTGTTTTGCCATTATTTCACTCGTTGATCAGAAACAATATCTTGACATCGTTCATGCTTTTTTTAAACTTGTTTTAGATTCCTTTTCCACTCTACAAGTGAAACATCTTACATGGGTTTTGTTTGGTTTATTTGTCTTTGCTATACAGATAGAGCCATTCATTTTGATATCAACAGCTTCCTAGCGTCTCTTAGTACTCAAAACATTTCTCAACGCAGATGATGCAAAATATTTGAAATGATATACAGTCCTTTACAAAGAATTATCGATTAGTGCAAAAAAAGCTAGCCCTCTCAAACTGAAGAAGCAAAATATATTCTGCACACTTTAAGTGAAATGTTGTCTGCTGAGGAAGACACCAATCAGGAGGCAAAAGACTAAACTTTAAAGTTGAAGAAAAAATTGTCTTATTTTCATTGCTGATAATAGGCTACAAGTTTCATTAAACAGTGCACATAACATGAACCATACCTTGTGTAAAAACTTCCAATAATTTAATCTTGAGAATTTGTACAATTTTGTAAAGGTTTTGTTCATAAATGAAGACTTACAACATTCTGAATTTGAGCGATATCAGCTAGTCCATATTTTTCATAGTTTTAGTTAAATCTGTTCTCATCAGATAGCATGCAGAGGGCTTTTTTTATAGAAAAAAAAATGTATAGCTTTCAGGCTGTACTCAAGAACTTATGATCTTTCATTGCAAATATTTAATGATTTTGGGCTCAGAGGAACAACATGTATATCAGTCCTGTATAATACCTTTAACTTCCTTGTGCCAAGGATATGCCATAGTCAATTAAATATAAACTTTATTTATTTTACAACAATCACAAAACAAGTCATTTCAACTTATATTAATCACTAAGATGGTGGCCCTAATGTTATTACGTGGAGGGTCTAAATGTGATAGGAAACCGAAGATCCCGGAGAAAACAAAGGTGGTCAGGCAGGGGACCCCATACCTTTTCACATCCGAATGGGGCATCAAACCCTGGTCGCCTTTGTGAAAGGCAAGTGTGCGATCCACTGCACAAACCAACCACCCATAGTCAATTTGGTTGAAGTATGATAAACTATTCAGGAAGAGTAGACCTTCAAATGATCGCCTTTCTGGTATTGGTTACAGTGTGGGATTCTAATCCACCTGCATGACCTTGTAACTAAGTATCCAGGGGTGGGGTTAGATCCTGGTACTAATCCTGATAGCATGGTAATGTTTACCTTTTCAAGCTTAGTGCAATAAGCATTACCGTAATCTGGCAAGGCTGTATTTACTCCGTGGTTTGGAAGAAATCTTTTGATTTGTTCAAAGGTGTCGTGAGCTTAATAAAGGAACTGCATCAGTGAATTTACATGTTTATATAATAACAAGGATTTTAGTAAGATCCAAAGCTTTATATGATAGCTATATGTTTCTTGATTGCTGGTAGAAGGATATTGACACACATTGCAGTGAGAAGTCAAAGCAGTAATAAACATTTATCTTTACTCTATTTTCTACCCAAATGTATGTAATACATTGTGCTACTACGTACTTGTTACAGCACACTAATTACAAGTCATACAGCACCTTCCAACCAACTTGTGACAGCATCTTCAGAATCCTAGATCCCCAGGAGTGTCACCGACAAATATAACTCAAATACAAGTATTTCACTGAGTGATATTTCTTATTGTTAAATTAGAAATGGTCCTGTCACCAGGTCTTTGTCTGTATCTATAGACATTGTGTCAAGATTTTTGTAACATATTGACCATCCAAAAGAAGTTGGTTGTGCTAATTAATAGCAGGTGATACTGTACAATAGTGCATTACAATGTACAAGCATAAACATCTGCATGAAATCTGAGACAAATAGCACATTTCTACCTTGAATTGACAGAGATTATCTTCACTTCCCTCTTTTAGTGAGACATCCTACCACCTTGTATTAAACTGACACAAAGATAGACTCCTTTTACATACTTCCTGCTTCAGTTAACATATCAAGCTTTGGTATGTTATATAAACGTGTACTTACTTTAATGGTATAGCTGTTTTCTGGGTACCAAACTTTGAAGTGAATATTAAACCCTCTAATGCTATGAACAGGAACTGTGAAAATGTGATGATATTTCCGCTTCCAGGGAAAGAACTGAAATAAAAAAATAAAAAAATCTTAAACATTCTATATGAATTTCAATAAAAGTTCCATCTTTATAACAATGACCATTTGGAATCCCCTTAAAACTTGACCTCATTTTTATAGAATTTTCACTTGTGTAATTTTATTTGGACAATTGTAAGAGAAATCTAATACATTTTAAAGGACTTTTCTAGCTTGTTTGTTGTAGACTAATAGCTCACAGCTATACTAAATGTCTATTGCCACTATGACTTGTATTTGCAACTTTCAATTATATTTTGAGGTCAGATTTCTGCAGATGTAAGGCTATTTTGGACAGAAACCATTAAAATTTATGAAACCATATTTGTGGAGGAAAGTTTTTTTTGCCAAAATGAAACTATACATCTAGGTGTTTCTCAGGGTTAACCCATGCCTGCTAAATGTTACCGTCACTTGAGTTTTGGCAAATGTATAAATATTAGGCTTTAACTTTTATTAAAGCATGTCTTTATGACAACATTATCATTCTATCCTTGCTTCTTAATTATACTGCATTTCAAGAACTTGGTCAATCATGATGAGTTCATTAAATTCATGCATTTTCTTTTTCATTTTCAATAAGGATTTTTTAAGACATGAAATGGGGAAAACTACACTAATTCAATCAGGATGATTCCTTTAACTGACCTTAAAAGTTTCCTGATGAACCTCTGATCTCTGATAGTTAATCGTAAGTGATATTCAACATGTCAGTTAGAGCTACAAATAATAATCTTACGGTAATTTAAATTAATGACATTTAAAAAAAAAAAAAAAAAAATGTGACATTTTGATATGTAATATACATTTATTACATAAAGTGAATAAAATCTGTGGGTTAATGTTCAGATGCAGTTGTTGTTTCAAATGCCGTTTTTTCACAATTTGATTGATTTATAAACAATCTTATTAATTGATTCATTTTGGTAAACACTGGATGATGTTTTTTTCATCATAAAAAATTGTAAAGGCTTCCATTTAGAAAAGAGGAGATGCTTTAACATTGGCTTAAAAAAAAATATCGTACAAATGTAACAGTTTCTTGTGTATGTTTGTGACCTCATAAAGTTTCGATACTTGCATTGGTTGTTTTTGTATTGAAAAGTTTAGTCTTGTGGAAAGCTGTTTCAATACTTCAGAAAGATTTTCAGCACTTAATTAATTATTTAACATTTTATTATGCCACTTTTGCTTTTTGTGGTTTTGGGTCGCTAATTTTATATTTTATGATTCCTGCAGTACAAAAAAGCAACAAAACATCCTACTTTTAGGTACCAAAACTACCTGGTACAGAAACATCTAGAATTCTGTCAGACAAAATTAACTGAATAAATCATATGAGAATCAGGTACTGGCAGAAGCAGATTTGGGTCATTTTGCCGTAAATCCTATTCGCATTATAGGTTGTTTCCCCCTTAATCCAGTTCTACCATGGTTGTTTTGCCCTGATGTTAAGCATTTCTAATTTATATATATCAGTTTAAATGTTTTAATGATTAAAAAAAATACTGTTTTCATATTTCACTCATAATATTGTGTTGTTTGAAGGGTTTCAGGACTCCTGAAATGAGTGTACTGCATGTACGTGCAGATCTGGTCGACTATGTACCAATCTAAAGAGTCTGATGACAAAAAAGACTAAGGAAGATTAAGAAAAACTTCAAACAAGATACTGCATTAGCTGTACACAACTAAACTGGCCTCAAAAAGCTTTTATTCATCATTATGGGCATGTACATGTACAGCTCATGTATAGAAGAAGGGAAAAAACATGAGAACAAGAAAAGAAGACCACTCATCAGCTGGGCCCCTTTTGTATATCCGGTTCCATTGTCTGTTTACAAATGTAACATTTTTGGGAATAAATCCTGGTGGACCTGCAAAAGTTTATGCAGGCCTTGCAAGGGTTTGACAGGGCTCACCTGAAACCAGCATAAGATTACAAATAATGATAATTTAATGAGGTTCTTATATACCTCTTTATCACAACCTAAGTCCTAGGTTGTCTAAAAGCAGTTCACAAATTAATATCTGTGGTTATAATTAGGCCTTTGCAACCAGTCAATATCTTTCTCAACACCTTTGGGAGCATACAGCTGGTGCTGCCATTTCGGCGCTCACAGCTAGCATTCAACAATTCCAGCACTGCCCAACCACATACTCATTTACAGTTAAGTAGACTGGAACTAACGGAGCAAAGTTTCTGGTTCAAGTATACAACACAGTGCCATGACGTGACTGTAACTTGCAACCCTACGGTCACAAGCCCAGCGGCCTACCACTAAACTTCCGTGCCCACCAAAGTAACCTTGTTACATAAACAAACATTGGTTCAACAGGTTAAACGGTTGGGATCGGGTAATTGCATGCGGTCTTGCAGTAAATTTGGTCATTTCAATATTTTTCTGCTACTTTTCTACTTATTAATTGACATACTTTGTCATATTGAAGGGATTTGAGTCATTTCACCCTAAATCCCTTCACACCGACTACCTGTTGTTTCGCCCTTCATCCAGTTCTCCCAAGGTTGTTTCGCCCTAATATCAATATATATTTTTAAGCATAAATATCAGTTGAAATGTTTTTAATAATTAAACACACTTTAATTTTTCGTGTTTCACGAACAATTGTGCTGTCGAGATAATGTGATGCTGGTGTATGTTGTATTTCACATGCTTTATCGGTTGACTTCGTACAAGTCTAACGAGTCTTATGACAAAAAAAGACTAAGGCAGTAAGGGAGACTTAGGAAACTTTAAATGAGACTGTTTTAGCCATAGGCTAAATAAGTTTTGTCCTAAAAATACACCGCTAAAAAAAATATAAGGGCGAACGCGATTTAGGGCGAAACGACCTGACACCATATTAAAGATTATGCCGATGTTTGGGTTGTGTTTATGTTCAGGAAAAGAAAGTGAGAACAGAGCTATTTGTGTAGAGAGGAGAGACGACTTTTAAAGGTTTCCAAAGCTACATTCAAAAATGACATTGTCATTGGCCTTACCTTACGAGATATTCTAGAAATACAACATTACTACAGCAGCCGGCGAAAACAAGACCTATTGCCAGATACCGATGCATGATTAAGAAATCCTGAATGGAAATATCTACGTTACTTATCTAGCCTAACTTTTCATAAAAATATTGTACTCAGCTAGGATAGTGTACAGACGACGTTCAACTCTAACCGGAAGTTAAAAGCCGGGATGAAGTCGCTCAAATCCCTAGAAAATAATGTCCACGATAAATATTTGATTGTAAATTCGGAGGTAAAAATTGCATATCTTTTATCAAACAAGTTTTCTCATTTTTCCTATTGATGAAATTTAAGGTTTTAACGAGAAATCGACCGTAAAGTGTTTTGTTTGTACATAAGCGATCCTGTCTTCACAACAATGAAGATGGCCGATTTCAATCAGCTGGAATGAAACAAGGTATCTACCTGTGGTTAGTGTTTGTGTAATGCTTGGGATGTTTCTGTTTCTGTGTGCTTGTTAACTGATATAGATGTATACTAACGTACCAAAAAATAACATCTACTTAAAAGTTACACAGTCAATTGAAGGTGCGACGTAGCCAGACGGACACCTGACATGAATTTTGCCGTATCGATATATATATACAAACAGATTTTCATCAGTCTCAAATGTTATCCAAGTTATAAAAAGCAGTGATTGTCTTTTCTGCTATTTTTTCATTGATCCATATTTGTAGTTTTCTCAATTTATCGACAACCATTAACTGTTAATGTATCGATGACGTCTTTAACTGTTTAAAATACTGTACTTGACATAAGTCTAGTGAATTCTATTATTTTAGTTAACTAAGATGACTGATTGACAAGGAGTTCACCTTTTGCCGAAAACTGGACGTTTTGGTTTTCATTACAAATCTGTCCAATGTACATATTTAATTCTTTAGTGATGCAATTTCAAGGTTTGATGATATTTAAGATGAAACATATGCATTGTCAATTTCAGCAACCCTTTGGTGAATCAATTTCTTGTAATTCTGACAAAGAAATCTCACCCAGATCTACCAGTATTGGATTTTCTGACACATTCAGTTTAACAACATCTCACCCAGATCTGCCAGTACTAAATTTTCCTATCACATTCAGTTTAATGATATACCATCACACAAAAGTTGGTGCCATATTTCAGATGCTTATGTGCGGTAAATGTTACTTCGTTTTCCTGATGTTATCTGTAGAAAGGGAAGTACATCTATATGGTGTCACAGCTGGTTACCTTCAGTAACTGTAATACATTTTCTTCAAACACTACATTACAAGTTGGATATCTCATTAGCACAACATTTTTTTTCTGGTTTAATTAAGTGTCAAATTATAGCTCTATTGTGATGTTATCAGGTAATGATATTGTGATCTATCACAAATATTGTACTAATTTATACTTATGTGTATATGCATTTGGAAACAATGGAAATGGAAAAGGTTTTGTGTCAAAGAGACATAAGAAAAATCATTTTATACCTGTTGATGATTGTCTCTGTGACCTGACTAATTATCAGGGTGATATACAAGGTATAAACTGTAACATCCAATCTCAATATCTGACATGGAGTAAGTAACGAATGTATAAGGAAGATAATTGCATATATGACTGAGGCTGCATTGTATAATGTATATATATATATACATGTATACCAAGTTAAAAACAGCTTGGTGTACATTTTCATTTATTCAATAAAGAAATAATCATTCCATGAGATCTGCAAGTTTAGTTATGTTGCAATTATTAAGAGTCATTGATACCTCTTTCTGAAAACCATGAAATGTTTGAATAACTCACCTCTGAGACAAGTTGAGTTGGGGATTTGGTTAGAGCAACTGGACATGGGATACATATAAA